GTACTTATTGGAGGAGTGGTGAATAAAGTAAAGAAGGTGGGATACATTTCTCACACTTGAAGAAATTCTGGACTTTTGTAAATATTGCCTTATAAAATTAAGAACTTAAAACTTATATACTATTAAAATATGATTATTAGCTATGATTTTATCCTATACTAATTGGTATAACATAAACAAAAGGTAGCTTAATTAACTTTTGAAAATAACTCTAAAAGACCATGACATGTGCAGTTAGACCCACCCGTCACAAAAGGGGTTGACTAAAATGAAAACCTTTCAATAGCATGTATATTGTTCTAGAAATAAGTTTCACTGAAAGGTTAACATGTTGCTAATCATCACAAGATAAACTTTTATTACTAAATAAATTAAACAGTTGAACATCATACTTTTCTTTGCAGAGCTTGCTGAAGGAGGTTGTATGAGTGAGTTCAAGTGGAATAAGGGTGGAAGCTATAAGGGAAAACCTTGGGGAGATTACTTGCCAACAGACTGTAATGTAAGTTGATGTATTATAAAAATAAGATATAATTCATATGTAGCAGAGAGTGTAATAGCATTTTAATATTCCAGTTCAGTTTTCAGAACTGTTGTTGTGACACATTGTATTTCCTGAATAACAGCTTGTTTTGTACGCTGTAGTAATCTTTTAATTTTCTAGTGTAGTTTAAAAAGTTGTTGTAGTACTCTGTATTTTACAAAATATGTATTTTTTTAGAAATGTTCTTAATAAACAGTGTCACATTAAAAACAACACCGTAATCTGTTTCTCTTTATTGAATGGGTTATAAATATGTTGGAAAAATATCTCTCTGTTTGTTGACAATTAACTTTTATAGATCAGCACTGTTTACTAATTAGCTAAAATTATATGCTATCCAAAACATAATTTAAAGTTGGGAAACCAACCTTTTATAAAAATTGGAAGTGTAACAAAAGATGTAGTAGCTATGTATCTGTTACATACGCTGGAATGAAATCTGTAAAAATTGTAGATACCAGAAATATTTTCTCTGTTATGTGTATGTTTTTTTATTGATGGATAACTCACACCCTTGAAAAAATATCAAACTTAATTAATTTAATGGAAAAAAAAATAGAGCATTTTCTTTGCAGAACATAAAAGATCAGTTGATGAAATGGTCAGGTTTCACTGTTCTTGAGTATCTAACCCTGGTTTTATTTATTGGATCTGTAAATCTACCTACATTTCTTGAGTATCTAACATTAGTATTATTGATGGGATTATAAAACCTCATTACTTTCCTGTAGTATCTATAAAACTACATTACTTTTCTTGAGTATCTAACCCTAGTATTATCATTAGGATCTATAAAACTCCATTACTTTTGTAAAGTTGTGTGGAAAGCAACAATATACTAGGTTTCTTTGTTTAAACCCTCTGCATCTAGAAAGTTCTGAAAAAGAAATTTGGCTAGATATCTTAATATAAACCCTTTCTATTTGTAAAGTTGTGTGGAAGGCAACAATGTGCTAGGTTTCTTTGTTTAAACCCTGTATCTAGAAATCAGTATGAAAGAAGTTACATAAAATTACATTTTATTATTTAATTATAAAGTGCAAACATAAATAGGTATTTGAGGTAAGGTATTCTTGGTGATTGTCCTACAGGATGTGGTTAATTTTGATTATTGGCCTACAAATAGCTAGCCATCTTTTAATATATAGTATTAGCATGTGTATGTCAAAATAAGTTATGTCTAGACACTGTTTGATCGATCCTGTGATTTATTATATTGGTTTTCTGCACCTAAGATAAGTAAGAAACAAAATATCCAAGAGGAGGTTCTAACTTTATCATACACTGATGTAGGTCTGAAAGCTACAAGTTTTTCTTTAAAATAATATTGTCTCTAGTAACATAGATATCTGTTCATACATTGCTTTTATACATGTAAATGTAGGTGGTGATGCATATGTTCTGTACATACATGGATTCTCGCCTTCCTGCTGACCCACACTACCCAGATGGGAAGACATTCACCTCCCAGTACTTCAGGAAGACCCCAGATAAGCCAAGTAAGATTCCAGTTTATCTCTAATGCATTGGAATTCTGTATATGGGCTATTTAAAAATCTCATAGTGCTCCAGAAAAACCCCAGATAAGCCATACAAGATTCAGATTTATATACAATGAATTCAAACTATATATAAGCAGAACAAAACTAAATGAATGTCAGAAGTAGTTTAGAAACTATCAAATGACACATAGTTTTTAAAGGTAGGTAAACAATAACAAACTGTAAAAGCTTTTTTTTTTTATTATTCAATTAAAATTAGCCAACCTCTTAATACTTTTGAGTTAGTGTCTGGTTCTAAAGTTACATTTCCTGGGCTTCTAGTTTCCATGACCATGGTCTAAGGCTCATTAAAAAACAACCGTATATTTTAAAACCACTTTAACCTTCGGATGTAAATATGACAGATTCTAATGTGATAGAATTACAAGATTTTAAGGATGCTCACAACATTATAAAGTTGCATGCAGTGTTTACTAAGTAGGGTCAAGAGTAAGAAATGTCAGATTAGTCCTTGACAGTCTTCACTGTCAAATTAGTGTCTGAAAGTCTTCACATTTAACTCTTGTGACTGCCTCGGTATAAAATACACTAGTTCGTATACACATTTGCACAGGCTATACTATAACTTTTAATGCTGTATTTGTATCTTCACAATATTTGGTAGACTTTTAGTAATGATTCCAAGTCTTTTGTACACAAAAAATCTGATTTTTTAATGAAGAATTTTTACTAAAGATTTGTTTGTGAAAATATCAAGTCTATTTCATTACTAGTCCGAGTGTGAAGTGATTTTCATGTTATGATTAAAAAACTGTTATTCATACCAAAAATCTCAAATATTATTTGTGTAATCTCTAAAACCTCCTAAACACATTTCAAACATTTGTTTTCAGTAAAACTATATTTTGTTTGTTATTTTGTCTACCCTAACTATACAGAGTCTGTCAGTTTGACCGACCTTGTAACTACTATAATAAATTAGGAAATAAATATAAATTATGCTTTCTTCATTCAGGAATGGCTACAGATTATAACACGAAAGCACAAATATTTAGTCTAAATAGCTTAAATCTCATAACATTATACATTTATATATATATGTATAATTTTTATTATACTGACCTTTCAGTCATGCAAGGCTAACATTACAGAAGTTGCAATGATGTGGTGCATGTGCACTCATGTTACCATACCCAAGAGTATAAAACTGGCCTTTACAAAGTGACGTGTCTTTGCTGTGTTTTAGTGGACTACAATTTTGTAAAATACAGTCACATTTCAGTTATAATACCTTAAATATGTATATACATTATTACTATTTACAAATAAGTTCTTAAACTTATTTTTCTTAAAATATAGAACTGTAAATAAAGAAGTAAAGCAAACAATTATCTCTTCTAGTTACGATCTTTGTACTTGATTGCTGCTTGCCATAGTTTGCTAAGCTTTATGAAATTTCACATGTGGAGGATGTGAAATGAAGTAATTTTTTAGGTTTTATATATACAGTTGAATAACTAAAAAAATCATAAATTACTATATCAATACCATAGAATTCCACTATAATTTATCAAACTTTGTAACTAAGCTGTGTTTGTGTCTATAAAAATATAAAATTTTGAGTTCACTAAAGACTCACTTTACCAGCATGAAGATTTGTATTAAAAGAATGTAATGATGTTATAATACATCCTAAGCTTTTAATTGGTTATTCACATGTCATATACAGAAGTAAATGTATATAAGGACCATTTCCAAAAATTGAAAGAGGTGAGTGGGGCAACTGTGTTTGTTTCAGTACATGAGCAATATCTCAGCAAATAGAAAAGATAGGAGGTTCTTATTTTATATTCTAGATTGTTAATATCGATAATTTGAGTTCCTGATTCGTACGAAACTATAGACTTAGTATTTTGATATCACAAACACATAATTTGAACCATTGCTGCATTCAACATACCACGTGACACACAAACATCGATGTTTAGATATGTGTTTTTAATATTTACTTTTATATTAAGAAATCAAATAATGTATAATACTAACATTTGAATTATAATCTATAGTTTGGTAGCAAACTTATTGACATAAATTCATAAAATAGTAGTTCAATAAAATTTTGAATGCAAGTCAACAAACACAATAACATGGCCTTTAACCCGTGGCAATAGGGTTTATAGCAAATAGAGCAGAACAAAATTTACAATGCAATGTGTATGACTAAGGTTTAAAAGTACTTGTATATTTGAATTTACAACTTTCCAAGTCACACTTTTTCTCAATTGGGCAAAGTTCAAAAACTATAAATGTATACTTTCATGGGTGTCATTGATAGACCTTGGGTTTCAGGTTTTCTAGAGTTTCTTTATAAAACATATTTCACAAATTAGTTTATTTTTATATAAAATTAGTATTATAAACTTGAAAATATATTTTATACTGTCCAGTTATAATCTAACTTTGACATGACTTCCAACTCCTTATTTATAATAAAATATGACTTAATATCTCAAACTCAAAGGTATTTTTATATTGAAGCTAGTGTAAAAGTGTGAAATTGTAAAAGTAAACTGGAAATACTGTTATAAAGTGTACTCTTAATAACTTTAAATGATGTAATTATAATCTGGCTTTAGAACATGAGTACTACAGAGATCTAAACATAAATTTTTATTACAACAATCAAAGGTTTAAAAACCTTAAATATGTAAATACAATACTAGGAAACCAGAAGGCATTTAGGAATTCATGCTAATCATATTTCTAGAAAAGGTTAATCAGTGTGTATGCTTGCATTTCTAGTGACTTTTATAAAACCATTTTTATTTCTATAACTTATTCATAGCAGAAATATTTATACACTGTAAGAATTCTGTAACATAGTTGTAAGAGTAAGATTCACACACTACAAGACTTCTGTAATATAGTTGTAGGATGAAGATTCACACTAAGACTTGTAACAAGTTAGATTCACACACTAAAACTACTGTAACATAGCTGTACAAGTAAAATTCACACACTGCAAGACTTCTGTATTATAGTTGTAGGATGAAGATTTACAAACTTTAAGACTTCTGTGATAAAGTTGTAGGAGTAAGATTCATACACTGCAAGACTTCTGTAACATAGTTGTAGGATTAACATTTATAAACTGTGAGACTTCCATAACATAGCTGTAGGAGCATTTTTATCATAGTGAAAGAAAGTCACAATATTAAAATACTGAAAAAATGTAATGTGGTATTTCTTTGTATGTGTTTTTCTATTTTGAGAAGTAACTGCTTTATGTGTCTGACCAAATTATCTTAACAAATAAATGAGAAAAGTGATGCTTGTCATCCAGATTTTGAATTAGTTGCTTCCAAGTTTTTGATGTTCGGTTGAAATTTAAGTTTCATTAAGCTCTGGTTTAAAAGGAATAGTTAAAATTTGATGTTTTAAGTTTAGCTTTGCTGCATATATGAAGTATATTAGTTATTTTTGTTTGTGCTGAATGTTTGTTGAAGTGGAATGGTTGAGGTTTGAGCAGTTATAAATTTAATACATAATGCTTTCTGAGTTTGTCAGGTTTTATACCAACATGTCAAGAACATTGATTAACAGAAACTACAGAAAGGGGGTTGAAGCATTCTCTTTTTCCTGTTATTTTCTTTACCTCTTAAGCATGAGTTTTATTGTGAGGCTATTTGATGCAAGTCTACTAAAGTTCACAGTTTGCTCACTGATGTTGAATGTCTTCTGCCCTATCTAAAACCACTCAGATTTGCTTTTCACCTTGATATCTTTCTGATGACAACAACACATTTTTTTTCGTTAAAAGCAAAATCTTGTTTTGTAGTAAAATTTGTATTAACACATATGGTTTGAAATTTTTTGCTGCATTTTCCCCTTTTTGTTATTTTCAGATGTCACTAAAAGCCATATAAATATATACCAATCATGGATCAACCCTCCACATTACCAAGTAGTGACTGGTGAGGATACATGGGATCTGCCAAAGGTAAGCTCACAACATAATTTTTCCTTAAAATCATGTGATTAATTTTCGGAAACTGTTTGTGAGAAATTCAGTTAGTAAGCAATAATAATCAGGGTAAGGTATTTACTTAGAATGAAACTAAATCAACTTCGCCATCAGTATAGTTGATTAAAAACACTTTACTTATGTTTCTACTGATAAAGATTAGAATGTATGGTTTCATCAGTTGGATACCCTCGCTGTTAACGATATTTTTGGGTGTAACCGAGTAATATCTCACAAGGTTCAGCTAAGGTAATAATGCAAATCCAACTTTATAATAAAAGTATAATAAGAACTGACGTGTCAAAATATCAATAAAAAGTAATTAAATTTCATATACTGCATAGTATAACTGTTATGACAGCAGAAGTCACGCTACGCTGGGAGCATGCACACTGGAGTTTCTCGAAGGATCATGAATTATCGAGGAACCCCGCGAATGTCCGAGTGTTTGCTAGACGCCCTCTATTTTCAAATATAAGCCTGGCAAAGAAAGCCAGCGATATAGGCAGATAGATGGAAGATGTAGATAATTGAGTCAAGTGAACAGTAGGCACTGTAAGTAGAGTGTGTGAATCACTGTGATTTATAGCATGTGTTATAATAATAGTTAAGTTTAATGTACTGATTGGAAATTCTGTGTATTACAAAGCTGTATCGAGAAAAATAAATAAACTGGTTTAATTAAGAAAGGACTTGTATTGCTGAAGTTACTCGGAAAGAATTTATACCAGAAATTAACAAACAAGCAGATACTCAACAAATTGGTGTCAGAGAGTGAGACGGAAAAAAAAAAAAATGGAAAGGAGAAGTGGCAAATCAAACTACAGCTTAGCAGATTTGATGGCAGCAATACAAGAACAGCAAAAGAAACAAGAAGAGAGACAGCAGCAGTGACAAGAAACCTGCAACAGTGGCAACTCGAACAGCAAAATAAACAAGAGAGATTACAACAGTTGTTGGAGGAAAAAGAAAAGAAACAAGAAGAGAGACTACAGCAGTGGTTCCAGGAGAAAGAAAATAAACAAGAAGAAAGTCTCCAACAGTTGAGAGAAAGCTAGCATACACAAATGGAAAGGATTAGTAAATTGTAAAGTGAATTAAATACATTAAAGGACAATTTACTGACTTTTACACAAGGAGGTTATATTAGAAAAGACCTAATCAGCCTCAGACAATGGGAAGCTCCTTCCAGACCTCACAGCTAAACCCTTATGCAGACATCTTCAGTCTTATCAGAAGTCACATTCCAGACATGAGTGTCAGCAATAGGGGTGATCTAGTACGAAGGAAGCCACAGGAGTTCGATACGAAGACACCATGGGAAGCATATAGAGCACAATTTGAGCTCCTAGTAGAAATGAATGGGTGGACAGAGGAGCAGAAAGCAGTGTACCTGGCAATGAGCTTGAAGAGACAACCACTGGAAATACTTGGACAGTTGTCAGCAGACGACAGGCACAACTATAGAGCACTGGTAGCTGCTCTAGAACTTAGGTGTGGAACCCTAAATCAGTCCAAAGTCTATAGAGCCCTGCTTAGGACTAGAGTCCGTGCTAAAGGGGAGAGCCTGCACGAGCTGGCACAGGATTTGGAAAGTATATCACACAAGGCCTACCCAACTGCACCACCCGATGTCCTCAAGCTGTTGTTGAGGGATCAGTTCGTAGATGCCTTGGACAGTCCACCACTTAAGATACAAGTGAAGCAAGCACACCCCTCTACCATGCAGGATGCAATGGCCAGAGCTCTCGAATTTGAATCCTATGTCAAGTCCAGCACAGAGGTACCAAGGTTGGTACAGTCATCTGGATTCAAGGCCAGAAAAGGTCAGCTTTCAGAGAAGTTTGAGGGACTTTGCTGGCACTGAAACAAACCTGGGCACAAAAGAGCTCAATGCTGGCAACTTCAGCACAGGGGAGATA